CGCGTGAAAATATTTTTATACCAATCACGAATCAAAGTTAACTTGAATCGTGACGTAAAATCCCATGCCAATACAACAAAAATTACCCGAGAGTAATGCTTTGGTTGGAGTGACTTTTCTTATAAATCATCCAATGAGGAACGTTCTGATGGCGTCAAATTCCTATACGCTGCTTTGAAACTTAGCATTTTAAAATTTGCCTAAATACCCACGGGTTTATGCATTCCGACGATACTAATTCTGACTTTTGAACTTACGGAGGCGACCTTTATATCTCCTTATGAGACACTACTGAAAACAATAATACATGCTCTTCCCAAACAACAAATTCTTCTTCACCCAAATTGGGTCATTCGTTAAATTCCTTTTCTTCCTTTTACCACTACAGAGAACAATAGACCCTTTCAAGGTTAACGCCGCCATTTTGCCGGGGGTGCAAAACTGCTGGGGCGAACGCAAAATGTACAGTGAATGTATGGAAAAAGTTGAGAAAATGATGCTCGATAATTTGAGGAAGGTTGACATCGTGCAATTTCTATGAATTACAAACTAAAGATACCAGACCTACCAGTTTACCGATCAAATTTGAGAAATGAAGTCTCGCGAAAAAAGCCGCAAATTAAGATTTTGATTTTCCATATATTTGTCTCTAAAACCAAATCGCCGTTTCCGGGAAAATTTAACAGCATTTGTATGAAAAACTAAAAATAAGATTTCTCACTTCTCAGCGAGCCTGAACTCTTCACATTTAATCGGCAACATCTTTTGCTAAGAATCTTTACTCCGTAATTCATAGAAATTGCAGAATGTCAACCTTCCTCAAATTATCGAGCATCAATCTCCCGACTTTTTCCATACATTCACTGTACATTTTGCGCTCGCCCCAGCAGTTTTGCACCCCCGGTAAAATGGCGGCTCTAACCTTGAAAGGGTCTATTAAAGGGGAAATATCATTTAAAGCGACGCTAAAATTTTAATGCTTTGCTAAAGATTTCTCTAACAACACGTTTCAGCTACTGTTGCTTCCCCCTATTTGTAAACAACAAAAACAACAAAGCTAGCACTCGGTAAGCAAATCCCATGGCAAACAAGACTGCTACACAAGTGTTGTAGTTATCCAGTGTGTAACCATTCCTTGTCGATAACTGATGCACATAGTGCTCCATGACTGCTGGGTAACGAACAGCTTCCTTTTCAAATAGCGCCTCCAGGTACCAGCGGCAGTAAGACAGACTGTAAAACACTGGACCAAGGGTGCTCTGTGCCATTTTACACAGTGTAGGAGAACTACCTGCAAAACAAACACGGAACAGAAATAACATTGTGTAATATATGAAAGCGATCCTCGCAGTAAGGAACCCTACTTATGTAGTAGTGGAAATAAGACCTGGAAAAAATTCAGGCCCGCACGGGATTTGAACCCATGACCTGTGGATGTTTTTAGTAATGAAGTCAAATTGATTTACGTAACGTTGTTGAGTTTCGATCTCCATTCAGTGTCCCATCCCTCCTCTGCCTTCCCCTTGTATAACTGTTTGTCACGATAACCTTTCCATTGCTTACCTGCCACAAGAGAGGAAATCAGAGCAAAAGTAACTGATGCCATTTGTGAGTTTTTGGGGCTGAAGATAGCGGATATGCAGTATCCCACTCCAGTGCAAGCGAACTGAACTCCAAGTGTGGCGATGTAATGAGATATGAACTTGGCTGAGAAAACAAGTTTAAAAATTTAGAAAAAAAGCGTCTAGATTGGAATCTGAGTGGTGTGTGGGGGAATTAGTAAAGAGTGTACGACTTGTGCGATTTCAACGCTTGTATTCACAAATTTTATCGCCTTGTGTTGAATATCATGTTGCCAAAAACTTATTTTGGTCACCTACGGGCATGGATAGGCGCTGCATTGTGAAGAAATCAGATACACAATATAAAGGGACCTTTACCAACTATCAGGTTATTGGATCAGGCAAACAGAGGCAAACCCTTTTCAACAATCATGAAAATCCACGCCTATCACGTAAAAAGGACATCTATTTCTACCTCTCGGTGCAATCAGTGGGTACAGCAGGCTCAAGTAAACAACAGGAGTGATGAGGATTACTGGAATCTGAGCGACATTAACAGCCACAAAGTAGCTAATCCTGTTGACACCAGCTGCGGCTTCACTGCAAAGTTAAATTTACAATGAGGATCACATAGGAATAAATGGAAGTAAGAAACCACTCACACTCCAACAGTACGAGCCATTTCCAAGAAAACCAGTACATTTAAGTCAGCTTCCTCTACTTATTACGTTTTCGAAAAGTGGAAGGAACTTTTTTTGCTTCCTGTTATTCTTTTCTCCCAAAAGTGAGCTGAAAATTTTTTTTTGCCCAAGTATCGAAAAAGGAAGGATCCATGACAGCCGTCTTCCTACCGATCACAGTTACCGTTGCCGTTTTGTCGCTCTTCTACTCGTTTTCATAATCAACATCATCGTTGTTGTCTTCGTTGTTGTTGTCATCGTAATTTTTGTCCTCGTCCTCATTCTCGTACTCGTTCTTGTGGCCGTTACCATTAAATGAATAAAAGGGGAAAAGTTTTAAAGAAACTGTGGTGTCTCGTCAATGGGAAAAACAAGGTAATTATGGTTTTATTAACCGACTTGATAGTTTAAATTGGCCACCGTAAAGAGTCTCAAAGCTGATGTTTCGAGCGTTAACCCTTCGTCAGAGCGAAACCATCAAAAACATGTCGTTTCGTCTTCGTCATTATCGTCATTTTCAATGTCGCCGTCGTTGCCAAGTTTTCGTCTCCATTGTCATCGTCGATCGTATTTTTGACTTACTTTTTACAAAGATCACGCAACATAATTACCCTTCCCTCCTTACCGCCAGAAAGTAGTCCTGGTGCTACCAAAACATCTCAACGCAGATAACATAGCGGTCAGACCAATTGCTAAGGAACTGAGGGTGACGAGAGTGAAGAATTCTCCAAGGGGAGCCTGGTGAAAGAAAAAACAAACCTACTTTGAAGTGCAAAGAACTACTGAATCTAAAACCTGCGACAGAATGAATGCAGAAAAGCCGGCAATTCCTTTTTTAGCAAAGGGAGTTTTTAATGAATGTCGCAAAGCGCGACTGAAAAGCTAAGCAAAGATGATGTTACTGACGACAATTTAATATCCAGACTTTCGGAGCTTTCGCTTCTTTACACAAAATGCTTATCTGCGCATGCAATGCACTTTAGTTTTAACTAACAAATCTCTCTATGACTGATATGCATAGCAGGTTTCCAAAAACGACTGCCTTAGTTAAAACTATTCCGCGGGCTGTGTATCACACCAGCGATTTAATCATCAACTGCAAATTACGTCAAATACGTATAAATGCCGACTAACCTCTTTTCTCAGGGCCCCTAGGGTACCCCCAGCAAGTAACACCAGGAACTGATCCAGAAGAAGTGATCGTGACAAACGAAACTGCAGCCGAATCTCACGACGTAGAAACGTCAAATACTGAATAAAGAGGTTGGGCATTTCTCTGTCTTGATCTGAAAATAGAAGTTTAAAGGTCAAAAATGGATCTAGTTGAATTGAAGAAGGGGCTTATGGAATATGGTGTAGAACACTAAAAACGCAGGGATTTGGAATGTGAATGCCCCGTAACGGTCAACGAGCTGCTGACGTCCATTATCACGCAATTTTCTATTCAAGCCACAGAATGCAATGCTTCCAGTGTTGCAGCAGCGCGCCTGTCCCGACGATTAATCTACGATTATTTAAATTATCATATCTTTATCGATGCCAGGCTTCTTCAACTTTAAACGTGTCAACTGCAAAAGAAGTAAACAAATTACCCTAGCAGTTTGCTGCAATCAAAGAGAATGCCGAAAAGAGGCTGAAAAAAACCAGGCTTCGACGGACCGTTTGAACAATTCGTTTGTAAACAAGTTTATCTCCCATCGTAATTTAACCGTCATTTTAAACATTCTTTCTTTAATGTTTGGATTTTTCCTTAACACAATGTATAAGCTCTGAAGTAAACCTCCAACTAGGAATTAACATGTAGATCGCGAGATATCGTTACGAATGCGAACCACCGTTGAATGTGGAAACAGCTTTACATGAGAGATTTTTGATGCGACTGACAATGCCTAATCAAGTGACAGATATATGCATGCAAAACTGGCGGAAAAGCATCGATTAATGACGAGTGATCGATTGATTCCGACATTCAATAACTACTAAGTACCTTTATTTTGGCTTTTCTTAAACAGTCCCAGAGTAGATCTGAAAGACACTTGCTCTATTCCGTCATTCTCTCTCGCAACTGGATCTTCCCGGCTCCCATCAGCATGGTCCGCGCTCGTGTTATTTTCACCAGCGTACTGCTCCCAACGCTCGGGTAGAGTACTGGATGATTGATCAACGTCCTTACACAGTCCGCCGATGACATCCATATAAAAATCTGCTGGGTTTACTTTATCAGGTTTTTGAAATCCATGCATTTCAAAGTAGTTTTCTGCTTCTTGTACACTTCCTAGGAAGACGGTTCGTCCACCAGGCGCAAGAAAGAGAACTTTGTGGAATTTGCCTTAAAAAAAACGAAAATATAAGGTTCTTTTTCGAATGTAAAATGAACACCAAGGTAAATTATGGAATACATCTGCAAAACAACGATCAGAAAAGGCGGTTGAATCAGAAATCTTAGGTTGCAAGAATGCTGCCCAAAGGGAAACAGTATACAAAACGAATCTTTTCGCTATTTCTGTAACCAAAACTTCTACTCCCTTAGTAAAGTACAAGTACAGTAGAATCACAAAGTGACATCTGTCTACGCTTTGAGACGGCAATTAACCAAAATCAAAAATAAAACGTTTTGTGCTTTACACATCAGACTTACTGAATATTTCGTATCTTGGCTGATGAATGACGCAAACAATTGTCAGTTTCTTTTTTTCGGCTACGACCTTCAACGCGTCGACAACCATCAAACTCGAAGTGCTGTCCAGACCGCTACAAGGGAAACAACAAAGAAGACGCAGAGTTCAACGAATCCAGTATGCAAAGCCTTAGAATGTATAATCAGGCGACGAAAGTAGTAAACTAAGGACCAATGGACACGAGTCATGACATTTTCGCTCTATTGTGCCTTCAGTGGCTGTGGACTCGAAACATCCTCAACCATTTCATCACCTTTAAATAAACCACGGGGTAAGAAGGAAACTCACGTATCACACCAAGTCATGCAATTTCGCCACCTCGCTAAAGAAGCGTAGAATTTTCTGTCTCACCTCGTCGGTTCATCGAGAAAAAGCAACGTCGGGTCAGTAACCAATTCCATTCCTATGTTGACACGTTTTCTTTGCCCTCCAGAAATGCCTCTTGATTCCTAGTAAGACAGTATAAAATAGAACAATTAGCCAAACAAATAAAACAAATAAACATTCAATTCTGCGAAGATGACACTTTCGTCTGCACGTGAAACCCGAAATGGCAATAGAAAGAATCAAACCGAAGTAATGTAGCCGAAAACTGTTTTCAAAAGTGTAAAATTCTCTTCTAGTGGAGGATTTTGTAGAGACACAAAAACAGCCCGTTGCTGGTGTCATGACAGTATAATGGCTAAACAAGGGTTAGTCTTCACAGTTTATGCAACGAGCCCTGTGAGACACTTAAGGGTTTTGGATTGGACGACATCTCCGATGCTGTGAAGCATATTCTCTAAAAGGCGACCATTTTTCTCTATAGAGAAATCATACCTCGTCTCCAATCTTCGTATTCTTGACATGCGCTAAGTCAAGAAGATCCAAGACCTGTAAAGTCAAAAGGGCCAATTTCACTGTTTTAATTTTATCATTCATTTGAATATTGGTAAAGTGAAAGGGGGTAAGACAAACCTACCTACAGGGCATTAGTAACATTCAGTTCTGGTACCACACAAGATTTTAATCGGCAAAAAAAAAACAAAAAAAAACAAACAATTGTTATTCTTTGATCTTTTTACATAAAAAGATCAAAAAAGGGATAGTTTACCCTGCAAATAGCTAGAAAGCTAATCGTGGCGGGGCAAGACAAATACCTGAATAACATAATCGTCTAGTATCTTAGGATAAGGAGTCGTTATTTACACAGTCACACAATCACGGAGTCACACAATCACGGAGTCACACAATCACGGAGTCACACAATCACGGAGTCACACAATCACGGAGTCACACAATGACGGAGTCACACAATGACGGAGTCGCACAATCACGGAGTCACACAATCACGGAGTCGCACAATCACGGAGTCACACAATCACAGAGTCACACAATCACAGAGTAACAGAGTCACAGAAAAAGATAAGACATTTCACTTTGAAGGTGTATCTATTTACTTACCTTTTTAATGGTCACGGGCATTTTTATATAGTTATCTTCTTTTTCTAAGATATCAAATAGCAATTTACGAAGGACCTTTGCGACATACCTCGTTGACTTTTCTTTTCCTTTCCTCTTTGGAAATCGAGGATGGCAACCTGAGATTTGCTTGATAAATCAAAACCTCCTTAACTGTCAGTGTTCTGTGCATGATATCTTCCTGATGAAAAAATTGTAAAAGTTCATCGGACACAAATAGTGTGGATAGTTACAGGTTTAATTCCTTAGGGGCCGGAAACAGGAGTTTCCTTTTATCCTTGCGCTGAATCATATTCTGTTTAAGTATCATTTCAAACGCTGCATGAACAACTCTTATAGTCCCAAGCATTTTAGGAAATACAACTTAAATTATAATAAAATGTTTAATCGTCCTGAGCACGCCAACAAGAGCGGCCACCGCCTGCTTTGGAACGAAGTAAAGTTTACCAATCGAGACTCACACTGGTACACAAGAAAAGTAGAGGAAGTTATCCACACAAGGCTTAACCCTGATGACATTAACAGAGATAGGGAATCAAAATTCCTGAAGCATGGATATCAACGATCAAGAAACACAACGGGGAATGGTACGACAGCGAACTGCCGACGGAACAACTTAAAGTCAGACCTCTCAGGAAACCAGAGCTCACCGGAACGATTGGTATCGAAATCACATTAGATCCCTGTGATGCAAATGGCAACTCGTGAGCAATGGACCCCATCGCCTGATGAGGACCAGCACTAAGCAGTCGAAACGTCGCGATCTACATCTCAAGTGACTTCATCGTGAGACAATCGATTAAACAGTTTATTATTACTTATCATCCCGATGAGCAAGATCGCCTTTCAAGATATTAACTTAAATCAACTCTTAAAGGAATTGTAAATTGTATTTGACTTCTTTCTGTGGTTAAGGATAGCAAAATTCTCCCAAATGCCGACTTGCAAACAGATCTTAAGGTAATATCTACATGTACCGATGGTATGTGAAAGGACACAGTAGCTTCTCCTTTAATTTTTTACGCGAAACTAACCTGCGGAACAAATCCAGTGATGTTTCTGAAAACACCCAAATCTTGTACAAAGTTATCGTTGATGAAAAGACTACCAGCGCGTTTCTGAAAACAAAAAAACTGCGGTAAGCGGCCCTGAATTCGTTAAGTAGACTCTCATGCTCTCTAAGAGCATGTTGTATCAGGTCTACCAGTTCTGCAGATCTCTCTTCAATCTTTCTGTCGATCAAGTCAATTACTTTCACACTTCTGAAGTAACAAGTTTATACCGCTAGTTGAACATACTAGTTATAGTGATGATTGCACTGTCGCAACAGTAACTTTTATTTAAAAAAAAAAAAAGAAGAGTACTGGTGAAGTTGCAATAGTATGGTAGTACCGTAGCATTGTATCGTAAGTAGTTGTGGCATTGAAAATCTATCATTGGCAACACCAAAAATAATACGAAAAAAGGCCTAAAACAGTTCAACCGCAAGTTATCGCAATACCATATTTTTTAAATGATAAAAATATTTATTTTCTCCAGGATCGGTTTCGGCTGGCTGTAGGCTCCCACGGAGAACTAACCATCGAACCATCCCTCGCATTACGACCGAAACAGGTAGACTGTTTTTTTCGGAGACGCGCGAAACAGTTGCTGCTGGAGAGAAACATATTGAAATTAAGCACGTGATCTATCCCTGACGCCTCGAAAGTAAGCGCACGTGATCGCATTCCTTCACATTGCTGAGAAACAAACGATGGCAGGCTTTTCCAGAAAAAAAAAGGAAGGTCTTACATCCGTGGTAAAAGCGAGGACGATAGCCTGATGTGTGTTAAATCGATTCAATTTTAGCTGAAAAGAAATATTGTAGAACGCTTAGCTAAATCATGTTGTATTACTCAACAAAAGCGGATAACCGTCGACAGACATTAAAAGCGCGGGCAAAGAAATGCGAAAGAATGTTATCACGTACGTTTGCCTTTTGTGCTAACATCTTTTAGTCACGTGACCAAGAACAATCGTCTTTGTCGCTAACGGCAACTGTTACGCACGTCTCCGGGAAAACAGTCTACATGTTTCGGTAGTATTATTGGCCGCTTTTCAGTATGATCCTCATTATTACTACACCGGCTTCGGTTCATGCATAGTTAATCTCCTCGATTAACTATGGTTCATGACATCGAGAGAAAGTGAAGCCTAAATATCACCAAGAAAAGCTCTAATTTCTACAGCATCGAGGGAGTGATCGCACCCTCGGACTCAAGAATGCTGAAGTAAACAATTGGCACAATTCACTCGAAATTTCAGCTCGAATGATAGTACTTTTGTTATACTTCTTTCACATGGAGAACTAACCCCATAATAAGCTTTTCCACTCAAAGTGTTGAGGAAGGTTGTTTTGCCGGATCCAGAAGGACCCATCACCGCAGTTACTTCCCCAGGTAAGAGTTGACCGGACACGCCTTGAAGAATGGCCACCTGTGTCTGTTGAAATAAAAAGAAAAAAAAAACAACCCAGAACGTATTACTACATAAAACATTCTATTACCTACAATGTTCAATACACATATTCTTCCTTTTTACTCCTTAGCGTGCTGGAACTCTTGCTTTTACTCCGAGTCCTAGGTACCCTGGAGATCGTTTTTTAATTTCCTTGATTCTCTTTTGCGCCTCATCGAATTTTATTTGAGTGCTAACAAGCTCCCCTGCGTTACTTCGGCCGCAAAAAAAAAAAAAGAAAACAATAATAATAATTAATCATACGAATAACAAGATGACGATGATACTATCATTAATAATAGATATTAATAATAAATTTCATGTATTATTTCAATAATACTGATAGTTACGTATGATGCACGATCCTCGCAGTAAAGAGCGCTATTTATGCAATAGCAAAAATCAGACCTGAAAAAAATCAGGCCTGTACGGGATTCGAACCACTGACGTCTGCGATACTAGTGCAGCGCTCTACCGATTGAGCTAACAAGCCAACTGGGAGCAGGCCGTTGAGTTGATTCGTAATAAACCCGTGATGATAAATCAGATACGATGAATATATGACTTCATATATTCATCGTATCCAATACTGATAGTATCATTAGTTATCATAATTATCATTATTGTTATCAAAGTTTCTAACAATATTATAGTAATCATAATAATAGCACTAGGTAGTGGCAGTGGGAGCAGTGGCAATAACTGTAATGATGGCCTGTTAACACCCAGATAAGCAGATAAGTGCAGATAAACTCAACAGGTTTCTTTAATCTACACCAGCGAGGACGCCATGTTACAGTACCATGATTCTTTGCGCACCGCTAAATCTCTATAACAGTAGCGAAATGTCTAAACACTACAATAACAAGATCATTTTCGTTACTGATAGTGCGCTATTAAATAACGTCTTCAGATTCAGAAGTAAGAAAAATACTCTTCGGCGATGATTCGTACATGAAATTGACCGTTACTCTGAAATTGGTTCCTAAAGACATCCTTCCCTCCCTTCACCCATTGCATAACCAGCTAAGTTACCTTTTTAAGTGACAGGCTAAGGTTTTCAAAGCGAATGGTGATGGTCTGTGTCTTGGGCTCTGCCTCCTCTCGGTATTTATCCAAACTGCTCCTGCTGGTCCACTCTTCCATTCTGACAAAGTGTTTCTTTGTCACATAACGTTCAAACAGTTCTGTAAGTTTTTCTTCGTGGTGGAAACAGTACAAAAGCAACAGCATGACCAGTAATATTCCAAAAATCAGTAAAATACCACCAGGAGCGCTAACAGGAGCTGAAGACCCTTTCTTGCATATGGAGAGAATCTAAAAATAAACCAAAATAAGACAGTGCTCAACAAGTGATGTTTTGCCCCAACAGGGATGGCATCCTATACGTGTCTGCTACGCCTATATTCACAACGAACCATGGAAGACGAATTGATCAAGTATTACCTTACGTGAATTATGTTTAACACAGTTGCAAAACTAAAAGCTTAGGATATGCATTGCAGCTTCGACGTGGACAGCAAAGCAGCAAATTCATTACCCTAAATCAGCCTTGTTAAAAACAGCTTCACTTCGAGAGGTTTGTGGCTTTGGAACGGTCTATCTGAGAGGCCCTGGCAAGCACGAACTTGATCCTTATTGAATCCAGTTGCAACAATTTCTTCCTCGGAAATGAAACATAGGCCATATAATTCACCAGCGGAGTAACAATTAGCCGAGCCTATTTCGAGCTTAAAGTATTTCCATGAATATATATGGTTTTTATAGTCTTGGAACTCAGTTTTCACATGGAGAAGTAGCTTCAAAAAATCCCGTTAATCTCGCATCTGTCTGTAACGGCTGTTTCCCCTTTAGAGTTGCCCTTGGATGTACACTATTTAAGCAATAGACGACATTTTTCTGGGCTCTATAACAGCCACTTGAGATGTTAGGAGAACACGAGGAATGCTTATAAATCACGAGCCGAAGGCGTGTTATCTATCACCTTTCGAAGTGTTCTCCCTAAAAATCGGAAAAATGCGTTCTATTGCTTTTATGACGTAATTAGTTACATGCGGGCCCTATAACCTGACAAAGTATCTGCTTGGATACTATTGACTAATCAGACGATGCGCATGATGTTCATTATGTTATAATAAATAATATGGCGAATTATATCAACTATCTCTAACGAGAGGAGATACTCTTACCGGACAGTTTTGTGGTTCCACGCTTCCATTCCGACAAAAGTATCCACCTGGACACGTCTTTTGAACGGTAACGTTTGGGCAAAAGTTGCCTTGAGGACACGGAACTGGGCGCTTGGCCCCTGGGCAAATATACTTCGAAGGTGTTCGAGGATCAAAGATAGGGATGGACTGGGAAGGACTGCAGCATTTTCCACTCTCGCGACACAATTGAGGCGATTGTTTCTAGAAAATTGAATGAAACTTATTCGTCAGTCACACAAACTACAGGCTCTGTCATTACAGATATGAAATCGTAGAGATCGTCACTTAGAACATAGTAACCTCAATGTACAATTAAAAACGCAAACCTAATAAGCATTGTATTTCTTGCATGGATACTTAATATAAGTTTATTTTGTCTAAAAAGCTTCGGGTCCAAAAGCTTCGTCTTTTTGACATTCACGAGGCCGTCATCTCATGGATTACCGACTTCCTGTGTTGCCGAAAGCAGCGAGTGAAACTTGGTCAAGATTGTTTTTCAGAGTGGCGTGATGTACCGGTGGGGGTCCCCCAAGACACCAAATTGGGCCCCTGGCTATTCATAATTATGATCAATGACCTTGACATCCCAGGTTGTGATCTGGCGAGGTATGGTGATTCTACGATCTCCGAAATAATACCTAAGGGACACCAAAAAAAAAAAACATCCAAACTGCTGCGGACGCCTTTGCTTCGCGTGCTGCCTCGGACAAGTTCCAGCTAAACGAGACGAAGTGTAAGGAAATGAGGATTTGTTTCAGTACAAAGGAGACTCTCTCGATCTCGATCCTATTGCTATTAATGACAAGCAAATTGATCTTGTTTCGCATGCCAAGATCCTTGGTGTAAATGTTTCGAGCGACTTAAAATGGAACCATCATATTGCCAAGTTGTCAAGAAGGCTAGGAAACGCCTGTTTTGTCTCTCAGTTCAAGCGCTCAGGTCTAGGTTCCGATGAATTAGTACAGTTCTATCGTAGCTGCATTCGCCCTATTACTGAATATGCCTGCCCGGTCTTTCATGACAGTCTACCCGTGCATCTTTGTCGCGAGTCAGAGGCAGTACAAAAGAGGGCGATGCGTATCATTTTTCCAGGTTTTCCTTACGACGAAGCGCTAGTTAAGGCAGGACTTGTAACTCTGTCAGGCAGAAGACAAGCCCTGACCGACTAACTTTTAAAGAACATTTTGGAAAACAAAGACAGTAAGATACAATGAATATATGAAGTTCATATATTTTGAACTGCGGTATTAAATACGTATGATGCTCGATCCTTCGCAGTAGATAGCGCTATTTATGCAATAGCAAAAATCAGACCTGAAAAAAATCAGGCCTGTACGGAATTCGAACCACTGACCTCTGCGATACTAGTGCAGCGCTCTACCAATTGAGCTAAGTTC